TGCAGCAACTTTTGGGAAAGTTGTGGTACCTAGGTAGATTATTTCTTCCACAGGTGTTTGAATTATTTATAATGTTTCCATACCCACCCAAGTGGACTCGGATAGCACTCCCTTTCTATGCATGCCTCATGTACCACGCGGTCGATCTCATCTGTAGTGACGCCAGGGGCACATGCTTTAGCAGCTTCGTTCAGGACTTCCCTTCCGAGGCGACAAGCCACCCGTAGACCTTCTTTTTCTTCATCATCAAGAACCTAAAATCTTGGGAAATTCCTTGGGATAGGTATGTAATGCACTTTAGTACAGATTTATCATAGGGGGGACTACCACTAGATTCGTGAAACGCATTAACTAATTATTTGTCACTTTCTATCTGACGCTCATTGACTGTCCAACTAACTAGGTATAGTCAGGTAAATGTTAGAATTTCATATAACAAAAGTCAAAATGCAGCTCACCTTTACTTCTCTGTTCGATTTCGCCTGTCGCTCCTCGAATGAGACTCCTTCCGGATGGAAAGCATAGTCAGGACGTGCGATTGATTGAGGCACAGTTCTCTTCGGTGTAAGTTTCGCTGGACGAAGTGGGCCCGTAAACTAAAGTAATCAAATCAGAAAAGAAAATGACACATAAACATCAATGAACTACTATTACTGCTCGATATCTAATGTTCAAACGCAAATTATATGGGTTTATGTCGAGTGGGACGGTTTGGCTGTTACTAAAGGGGCATTTACATTGGGCTCTATATTACGTGGGATTTCCATAATGTATTTGTTTAGTATCTCAATGATAAACATGCTGTTTTCTTTTTCAGAATCATAATAAGATAAAACCATATAAGATATGAAGCTGCAAGACAAGATGTTGTGAAAAAATGGGTATGGGGAAGGTGTTGTCAGTAGTTTCAAAAAAAACTCGATATCAAACTCTCGTACTATCCATACATCATCGTGTGAGTGATATAAATGAACTCTTTTCTGTTGTCTTGTAAGGGTCAGAAACTTATGGAAATAAACCCTTATGCTGTCATACATATGAAGTGAAAACCGGGAAAATACGCACTCAAGCGCCTTTCGAATTTTGCCCCTAAAGGTGCGTAATGGTCTATATCTTGTGCCGATGGAAACAAGCAGAAATAACTACTCACATTCTAGGTGGCAAACAAATTCAGTGGTTTTTCAGTAGTTGTAACAACGGGGCACAAATGTTAGTTAGGCATACTCTTTGTACCAAATTAGCGTTACTTCAATCAGAATTTATCATTTAAGAGCAGTGGAGAAA